GAGAGAGAGAGAGAGAGAGAGTGAGAGAGAGAGAGAGAGAGAGAGAGAGAGAGAGAGAGAGAGAGGAGGGTGAGGAAGAGTGGTTGGGTCAAAATGGAACTTGGGGAGATGGGAGATGATGCGCTAGAGAAATTTTCACGAAACTTCCATTCAATGAGCGAATATTCACTGCATCTTGCGTATGTCGTCAGTGGCTGAGGGTGGCTCGGCGGCCGGTATGTTTTCGAGAGATCGAGATGAGGGAGTGGGTGGACAGGCAAGGGCTTCTGCTATATTTGGATCTGGAGGACAAGCTTATCATTTTCGGTGGTCAGTCGATTACGCGTCGTGTGGATGCGATGTTAAAGAAGGTGGGCGAGCTAAGCAGAGGTCACATAGAGACGTTGGTCGTACAGTTCTGAACCATGGAGGCGGTGATAGCTGTTTGTGCTGGGCAGACGAGGCTCAAGCGCTTAGAACTTTGGTCTGTGTTTGGTCGCCGTCGCCGTCGGTGGGTTAACCGATTATTAAAATCTTGTCCACAATTGGAACACTTGAAGATAGGAAACGTTCCCCCACCGGCCTCGTTCATACTGTCCACCTCATGCGTTCCTCCTCCGGTTTACCATTCTCCTCCACATGGGGCTCATTCTTCTCTGGAACTCGGGGTGGATGTCGACTCCCATGCTCAGCTCAGATCTATCGTCGACATCTTCCCCATCGCGTGGGCGAATCCGACCCCCCCCTCTCTTTACCATCCTCTTCCTCGCCCTTTACCTCCCCCTTGTCCTCCTCTCCTTCCTGAACTTGTTTCCAGTAATTCTCCAAGGGAAGAGGGTCATGACTATTCTGGAAATTGCAGCGATGCAGCAGGAGCAGGAAATGAAGTGGAAGGAGAGCGGCCGCGTGATGAAGGCCTCTGGGAAGGAGAGCGGCCGCGTGATGAAGCTTCTGGGCCGAGCTATGGAGGAGGAGAAGGAGGAGGAGGAGATGAAGAAGTGGAAACAGAGCGGCAGGCCCAAAGGGACGGTTATGGGGAAGACGAAGATCCTGTCCCCACCGACAAATTCTTCAGTATTTGGCTGCCTCCTGATCGTGACTGTTGCCTCGCCCCTACCGTTTTCCCCCCTGACAGTGAAGAGCGGGGCGTGGAAGGTGACGCGCAGGGGGTGGAGGGTCGGGAAGATCAAGAGGAAGAGGACGAAAGTGGCGGGAGCTCGTCTACTTATGGAGATTGGCTGACTCTGAGTCATCCCATTCTTGACGAATTGTCCATCGTCAGCATTGCCAAGAACTGTCCGAGGTTGAAGACACTTCATCTCAGCGCTAACAACCTCAGCGCTAACAACAAGTGGCATAGGAACTGCTGTTTCACGGAGCGCTCGATGACAGCCTTAGTTCATGGATGCACTGCATTAACCGATCTCTCTCTTACCACAGGTGCTGCAAACTTTTACATGAGGGATAGTCACTCGGCCGTCCGTGTCCTTTCTGGTTGCAATCAGCTGCGGAACCTGAGTCTCTGCGGGTTTTGGCCTGCTGCTTCGGATGCTTTACAAGATGGCTCTTGCCCTCTGTTATCGTCCTTGTCTCTGGCGGAGAGTTCCTTGCTGAAGGGGGACCAGGACTCGCAGTCGCTAAGCCCATCCTTTTTCTGTTTCCAGTCTACACGACGAAGAACCCTGACATCACTGTGCGTGACAGATAGCTTATACTTCGACGATGAACAGCTCGACGTGAGCGGGACGCGCGTCTCCGACTGGGGCATTATTGCAGCAGTGCGGGCGTGCACTAACTTGCAAACTCTGGTAGCCTCTCGTTGCAAATACGTCACTGACTCGTCAGTACGTGTTGTGGCCGCCGAAGCTGGGCGGCAGTTGCGCGAGCTCTGTTTGGACGAGACCGGGGTCACACACTACGCATTGTCTTTTCTTGCCCGGGGAACGCGCACATTAGGACTGGTTAAGCTTCTGCTCTATGGGTCTCAGGTCAGTGGAGCATGCGCCTACCCTCGCGGGCCATCGTTGAGGAGCTTAGAGGTACTTCTTCAGAATCATCAACATCTCCAGGAGGTGGGTTTACGCATCTTTGATCCCTTTGTAGATGAGGAGAGAGTGGAGCGGATGGAATTGATGTGGGGACGGGGCGTCCTGTCAAGAAGGCTCAAAGATCTGTATTTTAATAGACTTGGGGACGAGGGATTGGAGGACAAAAAGGAGAGGATTCGTTGTTTCCCTCGGAATGACCCTCGTCTTCCCGCCTGGCAGTCCTGTGGCCCTTTCCTCCGCAGCCTCTCTTCCGTCGGTCCGTCCTTACACCGTCTTCACCTCTTTTCGGACCCTAGAGCACTTTTCGGCGATTTCCAGGAAGAATTTCTTGCTTTCCTCAGCACCTGCACCAGTCTCGTTTCCCTCAGATTGACCGGAATCTCTCAAGTTAGTGCTGCGATCCTGTATAGATTGGGAAATTTGTGTCCTTCGCTCGAACACCTCGCCAATCACTCGTTGTCAAATACCCTTCCCCAGGGGCTTCGGGCACCTCCGTGTCACAAGTCCTAGACTGAAGTCTTTCGAGTACTATGCCGGCTATTACGGTGCGGTTCTCTTGTACGACGCGGATGAACGTATCAGGTACATAAGGAGAACATGCTAACCTTGGTGATGCCAGACTATCCGAATTAGCAAAAAAAAAGAAAACGAAACAACCGTAGGAGTTCGTGAGGGCAGCAGGAATCTTGAAAAAAGGACTGCAGCATAGGAAGCTGACGAGTGCCATTGCCATGGAGGGCCATGACACTCTCTTTTTCCCTCCGCTCACCCTACGATAGGTGATGCCAGATATAAATAGTCCATGTGAGACGCCCTAAACCGAGAGCACCCCAGTGGAGGCCTGCCTAATGGGATGCCCCCCTGTGGGCGCTGACGGGCCCACAAATGGCCTATGTGGCCCGTAATGATCTGTGTGATTTCCCAAGATTGAGACTGCAGAACCGTACTAAAAGCTACGGCCTTCCAAATGGAGAATGTGGTCACTATAGCTGTATATGATGCAATTCTCTGTCTAAGTACAGAGATACTGACCTTACGTTCTACTCAGCGGCGGACTGTCATGGCTGAGTGGTACAAACATGTAACAGTGGATAAACAGATCATGAGGTCGAATCCTGACTGACTCAGACGCAGCTCCCCACCAACAGAAAGGGGAACATGGGGGATCGCAAAGCCTGAATCTTTGGGATTGTTGCACCCTCCCAAGAGTAGAGGCTACCCCCTTAGGCTGGGACCCCACAGGAATGCGGAAAGGAAAAAGTTTGCCGTGGAAGTGTTTTAGGTCCCCACACCTTGCTGAAAAGGTTTTGGAAAAGCCGAAATGTCTTCAAAAACTGTTTTCCCGGACCCCACAGGCCACAGCCCGCATTTTGTGGCCTGGAAGATGGTGTTTCGACGTTTCCACATCATCTGTGAGCTGGAAAAGGCTGAGGGGAGGAAATTCCGCCATGAAATTGTGCTGAAAGCAGAGGATGGCTGTGGGTTTTCCAAGGACAGGTCCCCTTGTCGGACCATCGAGTGTCCGCACATGCATCGTCCGCCCTGTGTCAACCACAACCCACACCATGGGCACCACAACCCACACCATGGGCACGGCCTCCTGGACAACCCAGCACTTTCCTTTTTCGGCCACTACCCATGGACCTTTCCTCTTATGGGGGGAAAAAAAAAAATGCTTTGCCGCAAAGCGTACTCTGCTATGGGGTCCTGGAAAAAATACTTTCCCACTTCCAAAATGACTTCCCCCCTTTTCGTGGCCAAACGTCTTTTCCATCCACACTGCATTGGGGTCCCAGCCTTCTTACAGGCAAAAAAAGGAGGGGTGAGTACGTTCATGTCACTATCAAATGGGCAAAAACGAACTAGGGACGGTCGTGGTGTTAGACCAGGTGTCATGTTTACGGGGTCGGTAGTGGAGTGAGAGGGGGAAACAAGAAAAAAAGAAAATGCCCTTTGGACCGAAATCGCTCGTTGTTTCTTTGCCGGCGTGAGTTTATTTGCCTTCAGGGTCTCAAACAGGGCCCCAGCCCTGCATAAAAATTTTCAGTCTACTCCAAAAGTTTCCCTGTTAGGGCCTACCAGACCACAATGGTTGGCTGCGCTAGTTAGCAGCTCAGAAAAGCTTGGTGCGCAGGGCCAGGGTTTCAAAAACACGGCCCCAGCCTTGCAGAAATTTGTTCATCGTCTACTCAAAAAGTTTCCCAGCTAGGGCCTACCAGACCACAATGGTTGGGGGCACTAGCTGGCAGCTCGAAAAAGCTTGGCGCACAGTGCAACGCCTCCAGGCCCAAGTGTACGGGTCGTTTATAGCTCTCGTCGTCCCCTGGAGCACGAGTTGCAGCCATGGTTCTTCTGCTTCTTGGGTTGGGATGCTTATCGAACCTCTGCGTCATTTAACAAGGTCTCCTTGTGCCACTTCGCAAACGTCTCCGTCAGCTGTGAGATGGTAGCATCTTATTTGAGGTCAGGAGGTTTGGCTCGCTGTGGTGAATCTGCTCGCCTACGATTAACGCTTTTTCACTGCATTTTCTTTGCTTTAGTAATTTTTTTCTCTTTCTTTTCGAAACTTGAGTGCAGAACCCTGCTTAGAGGAGATTTTAAGAGCACCTTCCTCAAGCGGGGTCTGTGTGGAAGGCTCCATCTATTGGTGGGGAGCAGCACCTGCTGGAAAGCCGGTCTACCATCGCAGTATTATACAATGTGTAATGGTTGTAGTTTTTTTTTTCTTTTTTTTGTTTCTCGCAGTATTATACAATGTGTAATGGTTGTAGTTTTTTTTTTCTTTTTTTGGCCAGTCACTAAGTACACAGTTATCACCAGGAGCAGTAGGTCGTGGGTGTCCTGGAATATGAGACCACCTCCCATCCCATCCTCACGTCAATACTCCTAGCGCACCCCCTATCCCACTATCCTACCTCAGTGTGACCAGCACTCAGGACCATTACCCTACCAATGGGCAGGTAACTTGGACCGAACAGCAGTGATAGGCACCAGGGCTGATAGGTTGCCCAACCCTGGTGGAAGAATCGGACGAGCCTTGTTGAACGGGAACTTCGAACGCCAGGCCCAGACAATCTACTACAGGCCCCAAGAGACTCTGGGCCCTAGGTTTCAGACAGGGTAGCACCCATTGAAGATGTCTTAGCGTCCTTCCCCTAGCTTACCCAAGGCCAGGCGGAACTCGGACTCGCCTGAGCGACTTATACCCCTACCCTTACCCCAGGGTCTAAGCCTGATATATAGTCACTAGACAGTTCTATCCGAATATCATTAGGAACTCCGGTGGCCCATACCTGTCCTTACTGCAGATACTAGACCCCACCTAGTGACTAGACCCCTCCAGTCTGATAGTTGTGTAGTTCGCAATGTATGTGTATACCCGAAGGCTGTGTGTGCTCTGTGTATTTATCTATCAAGATGTACAGACAGCACTGTGTGTGGAAACTTGTGTATGTAGCCCGTAGGCCATGTATAATTCGCAAGCTATGTATATGCCCGAAGGCTGTGTGTGCTCTGTGAATCAATGTATCGAGGTTTATAGGCAGCATCACGTGTATATAGAAGAGAGAACGGGGTAAGCTGGACAAGGACCCCCCCAAGGTCCGAACCAAGCTCAAAGTTGTGACCTTGTAACATGTAATCATATGACTCTACCATGTGAACGACTAGTGGAAATGGTACGAACGTGTGATATGCCAGACTGGGGAGATGAACAGAACAACCAAGACCAACACCCCCAAGCAACCCATGTGAAACCCAGAACCAACATACAACACCATGAACAACCCTTGGGTGGTGTGCAGGCAGTGTCTGTAATAGTACCATGCGTCAGCCCAAGGGAGTGTATGTCCAGCCGTGCGTCAATCTAACACCCTGCCGGTGTCCATGCGCAAGGTTGCAATTCAGTTTTGAACCCGCAACCTCATACCACAATGCGCATTTCCAACCGGTGCTCTAACCACTGAGCCACATCAACTGGACATGTAATGGTTGTAGTACTTGCATGCCGAGGGCTGTATTCAGCAGGCAATGGAACAAGTTGACGTATTGGGAGACCTTCAGTGGTTGTGTGAACGGTGCTGGTTTACTGGGCCTTGACTGATTGGCATCTAGCTGAAAAGAGAGCAGACTTCGGTGGTACCCATTGAGATATAGGGGCGGCCTGGGGAACTTTTTATTTATTCATATTGAAATCAATATAATCTAAGAAATATAGAGATCAAGCAGACATTCAGATTACAAGCCCGCGTTAGGGCGAGCGCTGGCGGGCGGGCGGCGAGGCGCTGGCTGTGTGCGAGTGGCGTCGCGCAGGTGGCTGACGAGCGAGGCGCTGGCTGGTCGGAGGTTGCATGGCGCTGGCTACTCGCAGGCTGCGAGTCGCTGGCTTCACGCCAGGGGCGAGGCGTTGGCTGCGTGGGAGCAGCGAGACGCTGGCTGCTGGCAGGGAGCGAGGTGCTGGCAGATCCTGGAGAGCGTGGCACTAGCAACGTCGGGTTGGCGAGGCGCTGGCTCTGGGTGACAGGTGGGACGCTGTCTGACACACGGCGGGGCGCTGAGTGTCGCCGTGTGCGGGTGCTGTGATGAGGGTCGATTAGATTGGTGATTGCGCTTGACACCCGCGCGGTTTCTAGAGGTGCTTGGCCAATGCCACGTCACAGGCTGACGTGGCTTTTGGCCTGAAGCACAAAGGGTTAGGAAAACGGTGGTCGTGGCTACTGTTTGAACTATCTCGCTGTGCTTTCCACATGAAGTATTTCATAGCCAAGACCTTATAAAAGGTGGAGAGCTCATGTGAGTTGGTTTAAGCCGATGTCGGTGGAAGAAAGTGGAGTGAGCCCCGTGGAGGCTAAAGTGTGGAGAACGCTGATCACACCTGAAGAATCATCACAACGCTGCTGGGAGGTCATCATCAGGACATCATCAGACAAAAAGGGAGGTCATCAAGCAAGAGGTCATCATCAATGAAGCTACTCTCTAGTATTTATTTTCTATGTGTTTCTGCTCTCTGTATTGTGCAGGTTATTGCATTTTCTGTGGCTGGAGATTATCATCTTGTTGCTCGTCTTCATCGTCAACTTACTTAGAGTACTTCTCGTTTTCGCCAAGTGTCGATCGTCGACACGTCATCGGCGGTCTTCACCTTTGTCAACACCATTTTTGTTCCCTACGATGGCACTAGCTTCACTGGTCAATGGGTGTATTCATCATTGTCATCATCTTCAGCATGCTGCTGTGCGCCTCATAGCACAATGGCGATTAAAACTAAAAATAAAAAAATTCCTTACGCAGTGCGCTGCCGTCATCATCACGCTCTTCTAGGGTGTCGTAAATCCAATCATTACGCATTGCGCTTCTCGCCATCTCCACGTTGATTATTGACATCATCGGGGTGCAGTGGGTCTTCCTCATCACTGCGTTGTTTCTTCTCATTAATCCTATTAATTAGTCTCTTCATCCTAGGGCTTTTCCTGCCGTCATCATCATTGTCATCGTCATTGAGTTTTCTTTCCTCTTTTCTAACTCTTCCTTAGTTAACTAATGATTTGGTTTTGGAGAGATGGTAAGATGGGGGAGAGCTTTCCTCTGCAGGGGCATCACAAGGCGGGAGGTGATTGCCCTGTAGGGAGCGAGGGCAGATTTTGGGGATTGTACTGATCTGGGGCTGGGAGTATATCCCAGTGGTGGCAGATTGGGGCAAAGGGTTGATCGACGCATACTTTTGGAGGAACTGTATGCCTTGTCGGGAGAATGGGAGGAGTGGGTCTGACCCTAGTTGGGGCTGATGAGGACTGCTCTTGATGAGGGCACGTCTGTTCAGCGAAGGCAGCGAAGTGTCAACGTGAAAAGTAGGAGAGGGGGGGGGGGAGGAGAAAAAGTCTTCATTTTTATCAGCTTCTTCAAACATCATCATCATCATCATCATCATCATCATCAACCTCTCAATTCTTATTTCCCTGTCCTTTTCTATACTTGAGACTGTGAGAGTCCTTCCCACAAGGTTGCTGACATGGAGGGCAGGATGGAGTGAGTGGGGAGAGCTCTTTTCTGCAGGGGAAACACAAAGTGGGAAGTGTTTGCCTATAGGGAATAAGGGCGGACAAGGGGGACTGTCTAACTCTAGGCCTGGGAGAGATGGAAGGCGGAACATCTTCTACTAGCGGTGGCAGAATAGTACAGAGATAGCTTGAGGTAGGCTTTTTGCGGGAATAGCCTTCTTTGAGGGGAGTAGGGTAGAGGGAGGCTTTCCTATTGCTGGGGCTGTGAGGAACCGCTCAACAACAGAGTGGTTCTGATTAGCGGAGGCAGCAAGGGAGAGGAGGGGTGATAAGAGGGGAAAAGAGGAGGGGTGGACTGGGGAGGGTCAATCAACATTAAGGATCATCATCATCAACATCATCATCATCATCATCAGATTGGTTGTTTGCTCAGGATCCCACTATTATCAGATCCGAATTCTTAGGTTACATTCTAGTCTACCTGATTTCGTAATTGAGCTTTTATTGTGTTTTTGCCCAGGTTGAGTAGAAACCAGAACGACACTGGCCGGCGCTGGGGCATCGCCCTATAACCTTCATAGGAGCATGAGGCCTTGGATAGAGATCTGGGGATTGCTGAGGGTGGAAGGCAATTATAATACTTGACCAAAGGCTACAATCTGGTGGACGAGGGTCGGCGCTGGGGTGGGTGGCGCTGCCCTGTAACCTAGCTAGATTGGGGTACGAGACCGGGTAGAGGCTTGGTTGGTATACAGTATTGGCTCGGTAGAGACTGACTGGTTGGTATGGATATCTGAGATTAGGGTTAGGGTAGTATGTGAGATCTCAGTAGATAAGCATTCTGAGCAGTCAGCATCATTCTCTACCGTTTTTTTCTCAATCATCCTGAAGTGTTCCTAAATCATCCCACATTTTCATCAATCATCAATGTATTCGAATTATAAGGGACGCTGGGCCCGGTTCCGAGCATGTGCTGCTCCCCACGAATAGATTGGAGCAATTAAAATAAATAAATAAATAGAGATCGCAAACGTACTGAGGTCCAAGGGTGCACAGTGGGACACCTGTCACGGCAACCCCAGCTTCTTACGGTTATTGACATGGTTGCCCACCGAATGTTTGGAGCTCGATTCAGACAGTCTGGGTCTGGAGGTACGGGTTCGAGGTCTGCTCCGGTATGTTACATGCTGCACCTGCAACAGGCTGCACGGGCCACTTTCAGGCCCGTGACGTTTTCAGGCCAAAAGCCTGAAAACAAGGGCCTACAGGCCCCGTGTGGTTTCAGCCTGAAAGCCTGAAAACAAGGGCCTACAGGCCCTGTGTCGTTTCAGGCTAAATCAGGGCCTTTCCGTCCCTGAGTGTTTTCAGCCTGAAACTGATGACCATTTTCAGGCCCTCATAAGACCGACCTGCCCTGAAACTCAGGCACCAGACCAGGGTTTTAGCTCAGGCCATTTTTGGCCTACTTTCAAGACAACCTTTGTTTGAGCTTCAACCCCAGGGTCTGGCACGTTTTGGCATTGGCAAGAGCAGCCTCCTGGACGGGCCAGCACTATATAAGACTGGCCCGCCCTGCAGGCTGCAGGTAGTTCCTAGGTACTTCCCAGACACCACGTGCAGCTCAGGAGGCAGGAGCTAGTCTTCAGGATTCGGCAGCAGCACTCTGGAGGAACGCTGCAGGAGTAGTAATAGCGCTAGCAGTAGTCTTCATCCACATCACGAGGTGTGACGGGGCCTGGTGCTACACACAGGAAGAGTGCGCCAGGTCCAGAGCATACACAGACGAAGAGGAGGGGATCAGACGAAGAGGAAGGGGGAGATGGGAATGTTGTCAACACCAAGTATTCGTTACAAGTCCCAAATAGTCCCTTGTCAAAATGTCTGAAGCCCAATGTTGAGTCTGGATCCAATGTCACCAAGCTCTCTCTCTCTCTCTCTCTCTCTCTCTCTCTCTCTCTCGTAGTCTGCTGATGCAGTGAAGTCAGATAGTGAGAGGGTGAGAGGGAGATGGTGGACTGAGAAGAGGAAGAAGAAGAACTCTCTCTCTCTCTCCCACGTGCCAGGTACTAACCTGTGAAGTTGGAGCTGTGCTGCAGGTACCTCGAAGACGAAGCTGGAGCTATGGCGCTGCAGGTAAGTCTCCCTGGCCTCCGCCCAATCTCTCTCTCTCTCTCTCTAGTACTGCTCTAGCTCCTATGGCGCCCAGCGCTGAAGACTACTGCTAACGCTACTAGCGCTCAGCGTATGTTTGGTCTGTAATGCGACATTGATTGGGCTAGTCATTGGTTTTCTAGCATTCTGCTGCGCTGTCTTGCACTACGTGAGAGAGGTCAGTCCCGGTCAGGTCAGGACTTGTATCTAAGTCTTCCACTGCGCTATAAAGCACCATTCTTGTATGTATCGGAATGCACACTGCTTGTTGAGATTCTATTTGCACTGCATTGTCCATTCAGTCCTTTTTATCACATTGCGGATCCTTGGTTTATACGTACACCGCCCAACTGGGCATGTAACAGGTAGGTCGGTATAGCCCCCCCCCGGTGTCGTTTCCAGGTCCTGGGCGCCCCAACATGGTCACCAACCGGACGTCTCCTTCCTGATCAAGACAGTTTGGGTCTGGACATGCGGGTCTGGGTCTACTCTGGTAGGTCCAGATGCCCCCCTCCTCATGCCGTTTTCCGGGGGGTCTGGGGCATTTGTTGGCCTTTGGAGGCCAAAGCAAACAGCCCCGGACATCCCGTGGCACAGTCAGTGGGGGAGGGTTGGTGGGAGGTAGCAGGAGGATTCGTTTTCTGAATATTCCCACTGTGGTGTCGCTTGATGGCCACCACCCGCGGCCGCGCAGCATCCAGCCCATGAAAGTCCCGTTCAGCGGCACAGTGCCCCGGCCCGTCCAGAAGAGGAGCACCAGGCAGCACCACCACCCATTGGAGGAGGAGGTTGCTGTTGCAGCACAGCAGAGGAGCTCACCGCCGAGAACAGATGGAGTCATCAAGGAGGAGGAGGAGGAGGAGGAGGAGAAGGAGGAGGACGAGGAGGAGAAGAAGGAGGAGGAGGAGGAGGAGAAGGAGGAGAAGGAGGTCGAGGAGTAACAGCTCTTTTCTTTTCTTTTTTTTTCACACCTGCTGGCCAGTGCTTTCCGCTCCATTCTGTTGGCGGGGAGTGGCACCTAGTGCAAACTGGGGCTGGATAGACTGCCCTCTAGCCGCATCTTGCAATGCTGAATTGGTCCAGCGTCCGGGTCCGAGGCAACAATGGTTATTACCTTGTCTGTCCAACCTGGTATTGGTGTTATTCTTTTGTTGTTGCTGGTCAATTTCTTTTACTTCGATAGATCTCTACAATTCTCAGGTGGTTCCTAAGCACCTCAACAGTGTGGTTTGGATGTTGAGACGAGTGTTAGAATCGTGACTACTTTTCGGATTTAGTGTCCGCTGTGTCAGAGGGCACATATGACATGACACCATGGCTGTGTCAAAGGTTGAGTCGCTCTTAATATGGGGAGTGAATGATGTGGGGTGGGCGAGGGTTTGCGTCCATCTTTTTGGGCGTACATAGTGAAGGTTGAATTAGGCATGGCAAGTGGCGGTAAGTTGCTGCAGAATCCTTACCTCTCTTTTAGCTTTTTCTTCCGTGGCGGCGACCACGAAGTTTCAGAGTTCTGCTCAGCGTGGTTTCAGCGTTTTCAAGATGTCTACATTTCTGCCTGCCTTGATTGTTGAAGATGACTGTTTTCCTTTTCGTCATACTAGCAACGATCAAGGCAGAGTTATAGTTTGCTATCCTCAGATTCCTCTCGATTATTACTACGATATTGTCTAGTCAATCCCCAACTTTTAAGGTGAATTCGGATTTTTGGTGGTAGAATCTACTCACAGATATTGAAGCAGGACATCGTAATCATTACCATGAAATTTGAGGATCTTTTTTTTTTTTTTTTTCCAAAAACAAATGCTCCAGTCTATTCGTGGGGAGCAGCACGTGCTGGGAACCGGGCCCAGCGTCCCATATCGAATTGTACAGATCATTGAGAACATTGAGAACATTTGAAATCATTTGAGATACCGGGGCCATTGCCCGGCTTCGGCTGAGAACAGTCTGTGAACACGATATGATTCAGAAAGCATGGGGAGGATCATGAATATCTAATGCAATAGGCTGCCACAGAGGTCCTACGAATGCTCAGAACCCTCAGGATCCCTAACACGCCCTTCTAAGACTTTCCAACACAGTCTTACTCTCTGCTGAGCTCCTCCAGGCCTCACCCCCCCACCGTGCTGGGTTACAGGGCAACACAACTCGCCCCAGCTCCGACCAGCATCGTCCCAGCAGCAAACCTTGGCTGTCCCGTAGGATGCCCACCCCAAAGCATCCCCAGATCTCTCTACCAGGCCTCGCGCTCCTGCATCAGCAGGTTACAGGGCAACACCCCAGCACCAGCCAGCGTCGTTCTGGCATCGAACAGCCACAGATCACCGAGTATAACAGCTTCAAAACCGCCTAAGATGGGTTGCTAAGAGTCCCTAGAGTCCTAAGACATTCATAAGAACAACCAACCTATTTTCCACTATTCAGACTCTACCAAGTCACTAGAATATGTGTCAAAAAGCCTCCCAACCACGAATCAGATAGGTGAAACTTATTCAATCCACCTACAACCACCACCAACATGGCTGTTTTCAGCACGAACCGAAGCTCTTCCAGGCCTCATGCTCCCATCAGGTTAGGTTACAGAGTTGCACCACCTTGCTCCAGCACCGGCCAGTATTGCTCCAGTTACGACCCCCGATGACCATTGAGACTGCCCCCGCAAACAGCCCCCCAGAGCTCTCTACCAGGCCTCACGCCCCCACTAAGCTGGGTCACGGAGTTGCGCCACCTGGCTCCGGCTAGCATTGCTCCAGCATCGGTCTTCGACGGCCACCAAATTTTCAACCACCCTTCGCAGGATCACAGATGACTGGCCAGATAACACCTATTCCTACATCCTCCTCGAGAGGCAAACCAAATGGAAAGAAGTAGTAAACTGGATGATAGACTTATTGGAGCCCCCCCTCCCCCTCCCCCTCCCCCCTCAACCCTACACTGCCTCCGCCGAGGTGAGTCACCCACTCTCCCTCGGCCCCAATATAGGACCAACCCTCTACCCCCCTTTCCCCAGGAGCACGCAGTTCCCACCTAAAGCATGCCCCCTTGCCCCTTGCCCATTTCTGCCTCCGCAGGGACTGATATTAACCCACGCACCAGCCCCTGCCCCAGAATAGGGCAACCCCCTACTCCGTCCCTACCCTCTTTGAGACATTCACCCCCCGCCTTGTGATGCCTTTGCAACATAGAGCTCCCCCCAACCCCTTCCTACTGTTTAGCCCTCCAGGAGCGATCTGATCCAGCGGAAATGAAGAGAAGAAAAAACAAGGAATTTAGAAAATAGGATTCTTGAGATATGAATGAAAGAATCAGAAATTCTTGGAAAGATAGATGATATATATTTTTTTGGATTTTGCTGATGACGACGAACAGCACCATGAAGATGATGATGATGAGGATGACGGTGACGACCAACTCACCTGCCGATGACAAACTGATGATGATGATGATGATGATGGTAGTGATGAGAATGAAGACATAATGATGATGTTGATCATACTAAAGAGCAGCACCAACAGCCCCGCCCCTATGATTACAAACTGATGATGATGATGATGTGGGTGGTGGTAATGATGATGATGATGATAATAACGCACAGCGCCCTATGATAACAATAGGATGATGATGGTGCTGATGACGAGCACCTTTGATGATAACCTAATGATGATGATAATAATGATGATGATGATAGGGATGAGCAACGCCCTCCGACGAACTTTGCCAACCGGGCCCTTATGATAGTGAACTGTGATGATGGTAATACAATGGTAAATGACGAGCAGCACCCCTGACGATGATAATGATGATGATACTAGTGTCGAACAGAAGTGAAGACCTACGCCTTGGTGATGATGACGAGCAATACCTTGATGATGATGATGATGGTGATGACGAGCAGCACCCTGATCATAATGAGAAACCATTACCGTGATGATGATGTTGAACCATGCCCTTCCCCTGTACAGTGAGCCCATCAACTAATCGGAGCGAAAAAGGTCGTCGCAGTCCCTTCCGGATGCTCGCACTTGAACGATCTTCCTCCTCCAACTCCACGTGAGAACGTGCTCCTTCCTTTCCGCCCGAGATTCCCAACCACCCTCCTCAACACTGCGCAGGAGCGGAGGAACAAGGCCTCAACTATGGCCCAAAAAAACTCATGGAGATCATCGTTCTTCCAACGATAATCTCCCCTTCGCCAGCGTGCCAACCTGCGATACAACTCGGACGAAGCGCGAAGCCGAAGACAACTTTCCCTAATTGGCAAAGTTGGAAGAGCGTCCAAGTAGCAGCCTACACGTCGATGGCTAGTCAAGATATACACCATGCACTAGGCAAAAGATTCCCCAACCACCATTGCCCATCTGCACACGTGAGCTCACCCGAGGACGTAAGAAATTCACCGCTGTTTTTTTCTCAATATGAGATGCAGCGGGCCTCTATCAACCCTGGCCTACAGCCAGGGCCTATCACGCTATTTGCCTGTTCGGCCTGTGGGACCAGGTCGTGGCTGTGCCCTGACCCCAAAGGCCGTGTGCTGTTTCAGTCCAGTCCAATTCTGCCCGATACCAATGTCGGTACCATGCCAGTCCAGTCCAATCCAGTCAGTCCACTGGGGGTATACCCCAACTGCAGTCTGTTTTCAGGTCATTCTTTATTCTGCACATTTCGGAGTACATGCTTGTTGAGTCTGCGTCGGAGTTGCGCTGTCCCTTCCAGCTCCATCTCCATGTCCTCCTTCCTCAACCCTCTGTCTTCATCCTGATGGACCGCCATCCCGGCGGGTCCGTCACACTGGTATCAGAGCGGGAATGTTCCCCGCTTCCACCCACCACACCCCGTGAAGGTGGAAAACAGGTGTAATCCTGATAGGGGGATTTTTGCCGTTTTTCGGTTGTTTTCGCAGCAAACGGGCGGAAACAATTGCAGCGCGGAGGTTGCGACAGGTGGTACGAAAAGAGAGAGCGCCGTCACGGCGCGTGTGCACCCACGCTGCCTCGCTGCCCCACCCCGCGCTGCTCCCGGATTATACATATTAAGATCGGGGATGCACGTTGCTGCCAGGGTTTGAACGCAAGCGCATGTTGGCCATGCGCGTGCATAGCCAGTGCTGTAACACACTGGCCAAACTGTCTTCATGGCTTTGGAGTGCGGGACGTTCATGTTGAACAGTTCCACAC